TTTTATCCAGTTGGCCACTTCAACATTTCTGATGATAGCCGACGAATAGGATCACCAATGTCGGTTTTAGAAAGGGGACTTGAGAGGTAAAGAGGAAAGGAGAGAGAGAGAGAGAGAGAGAGAGAGAGAGAGACAGACAGACAGACAGACAGACAGACAGACAGAGGGGGGGGGAGAAGGGGAGAAGGGAAGAGAGGAGGAGGGAGAGGAAGAGGAGACCCCAAGAACAGTTGGGATGGATGGGGGGTCGGCAGTAGCATTGCGCTGGAAGGGGTGGGGAGAAGGAGAAAGGGAGATATCATAGGGTAGGAAAAGGAGGAAGGGAGAAGGAGAAGGGGGGAGCAATTGTCAGTTGGTCAGAAAGAGGGAGAATGGCCCTTTATTCTGTTCACTAGGAAACGTCTTATCTTGTTTGTGGCCTGCTCCCACTTTCCTACCGAACGTCTAAGGTATTTGTCGCACCCTGGTCGTATATATGACATATTTGTGTTACAAATGTCTTAAAACTCTTTCCTTTCTTTCTTTTATTCTTCCTTCCTTTCTTTCTTTCTTCCTTTTTTTCTTTCTTCCTTTCTTTCTTTCTTTCTTTCGTTCTTTGATTCTTTGGTTCTTTGTTTCTTTGTTTCTTTCTTTCTGAATGTTGCCCATTTACTGCAGGATGTTGCCCTCCACTTTGCTTTACCGGCTGATTTACGTGTCCAGGTTGTACCCGTCTGCCCTCTAGTGTTATTTCGCCGCTTTCTTTCTGGTCTTCCTCTTGATCTCCTTCCTGTTCCTGGTCTCCTTTCAGCGCATCTTTCTGTCCACCGGTTCTCTTTCACTTTTAACCCCTTTCTTCTATGATCTCCTGTTGCACCAGGTGACCCCTTGGCCTTCCTGGACATCCCTGACAATGTCGCTAGCCCGTCTCCCACCGGATCTACGTCATCAATACCCGGACTTTTGCCTGCCGGGAGCGGAGAAAAGGGGTCAGGAACAGATGCATGGAGGAAAACAAGTGGGAAACGAGCCAACTTCCAAACAGGTAAGATGCTATGGTGGTCGTGGTGGTAGTGCAAGCCAGAGTTATATTATAGATTAAATACAGAGCACAAAGCAAGGCACAAGAAAGATAGATTGCATCGTCTCGGTATGCAATTTACGGTCTTTGGTATAGGCGGTCCATCTTAAAAATAAAACACCAGCGTTTGTGGTGTGGCATTTAGGCGCCTTGCTGTTATAGGCAGGAGATCCGATTTCAATTCCCCAGCAGTTGGGAGAAATTTTTCGAGTATCTCGGTCTTCGTGCTCCGTTATCCGGAGGTGATCAATGGCTCCGCCTTGGTTTAAGAGAGGTCACTTCTATTAGTAGCAATGGGTTGTTTAATTAGATGAAGCATGATATGCCTAGTTTACTTACTGATGTGTTTAATTATATTTGTCCAGCTCTGTCATCAGAAGATGTAGAGATGCATATGACAAAAATTGAATTTGCATAAAATGTCTTTTTTTTGGGGGGGGGAGTATTCGTTTGTCACATCCTATTTGCCCATATCCTCTTTCTTGTCAAAGGCATGGCGACTTACAGGCTATATCCCAAATAGTAGATTTCTAGGTGGTAAAGCTTCGCAAGTCACTGATCTCAGTCCTACTGTTTCTGTCCTATTGTCGATGGCAAAGTGTCGTATCTTCCACTATGCACAACAAAGAATTAATAACTTTAGAAAAGCTCTTTGCCTAAAGTGTTCAGGGTTTTGTGTATTTCTTTAATTTTTCTTTTATTTTGTGGGGGCTCTCGTGGCCTAGAGGTTAAGGTGTTGGCCTCTCATTCAAAGGTCCCGGGTTCGAATCCGGGTAGCGACCGAAAAATTTTCTTCTATAAAATTGTCTCCTTTCACCTCTTTTCCCGCTCTCTAGCAATATTCTGTCGTCTGCTTTCGTCTCCTCTTTCTGCCCCCACCCCCTCTGCCCCATCCTCTGGGCTCCTGACTCTTTCTGCAGCCTTTCTACTGCTACTCCTTGACTCCTTCTTACAGCAGCCTTTTTGCCACACCCCTGATCTTCTGGTAGGAAAGATCTACACCTAGCCTTCTCGGACAAGGGCGAAAAATCTCGGAGGGCCCGTGTGCAAGTTGCGCACGTTAAAGATCCCTTGGTGGTCTAAAATCGATAAGAATAGGCTTCGGCCGCCACCCGGGCAAAATTCAAAATTTCCTACCAACTAAAAAGTATTAGGTGTGTCCCGCGCGCTCATATGACCTTATGCAGTTGCGAGCGCCGTAAAACCCTATACTAAACAAACAAACAAACATTTTATTTTGTTCTGTTTTATTATCATTTTATTCAAAATCATGAAATGTGGAGTTTTGGGTGGCAAAGCTAATGCGGCGTTCTGGCTAATGCTCGATGCTCTATTAGGAGGAGAACGACGGTCAATCTTCCCGGGTCCAGCTAAATCAGGTTGTCTGATATGTCTAATAATAATAACAACAGATAGCATTTATTGTATAGCGCAAATCCTCGCTCAACAGCAAGCTCTATGCGCTTTACAATCTATACTATTAACCCTGCAGACCCGAGAGCATTCTGAAACAACCTCAACTTCCTGGGAAACATACGGTGCAAGCAGCCATTTATAGGCTCTAAAATACTAACATACTTTCGCTGTCTATGGCCGGGTACCTATTCCCACCTTGTGAAGTTAGGAAATTTCGTGTAAAGAGTAAAGTGCCTTTCCCAAGGACACAACGTCGGGCCCGCGGTTCGAACCCCCGAACTCGCAACATCTCGATTATGAGTCCGGTAGCCTAACCACTCTACAGTTCGAGAACGGGCTATGTGGCGTACTTTAATTACTGTATCTCTGTACCGTCCCGTAGGCTACATAAGACAGAGAGCTGTCAACGCCATGCTAGTCTGTCCCTGACCACTTCCTCTAACCTTGGTACATCCAGGCCCTGGGTATGGCTTCCTCCCTGATCGTGTTCCTGGATATTACCAGTTGGTCGGCGGCTTCTACTTTTGCCATTTTGATCTCATGTACTTACCTTGTCAGACAGGACAATCTTGTCTCGGGTGTTCTAAAAAAAATGTCACAATTACTCCATCTTCTCTTTCTTATTTTTGTGCTTAGGTCTTCAATTCCAGTTCTTTCCAACGTTTCCATATTTTTTATTGATAAATTCATTCCATTTCATGAATAACTTTATTTGTAAACATTTTTCTGGAAAGCCTGTTTTAATTTTAGTTGAATTACTTTGTTTGATTTCAATATCTATCAACCATACATCAGTATCGATGTAGTTCTATGTGATTTTCAACACTTTAAATTTAATTCACTCTTGTCTTTGTTTATTTCCCAGGTCTCCATTGTCCTACGTGTGGCTCTTACATCGAACCCGGCAGCTCTGTCTACAAGGACGTTCTCAAGATGTCCTAGCAGCGGACAATTCCACTGAAGGGCAAGAACGCCCCCAGAACTTTCTCTCTGCAAACTTAGTCTTAAGACATTGCAGAATAATGCGTAGAAAAGCAGGGCAGTATTGGACGGTTGAGTACAGTGTGGGGCTTTCGGGACAGTGCAGGACTGTATAGGACAGTGTTGTGGGACAGTGTGGGAGTTTGTGTGGAAAAGGGCAGGACAATGAAGGATGTATGGGACAGTTTGGACAGTGTAAGACAGAGCAGGAGAGAGTAGTACTGTGCAGAAAAGTATGGGGCAGTGTAGGACAGTGTAGGACAGTGTGTGAGTTTGTGGAAAAGGGCAGGACAATGAAGGACGTATGGGACAGTGTGGACAGTGTGAGGCAAAATAGGAAAGTGTAGTACAGTGCAGGACAGTGCAGAATAGTGTGTGGCAGTGCAGGAAAGTGTGGGGTAGAGTAGGACAGTGTGAGGCAATGTAGGACAGTGTAGTACAGTGAAGGACAGGATAGGACATTGTAGGACAGTGTAGGAAAACCTAGTCTAAGACTGTATGGAACTGTGAAGGGCATTATGATACAGTGTGGGACAGCCTGGGATATTGTAGGACAGTGTAGGAAAGCATAGGACAGTGTGGGGACAGTGTAGGACATTGTGGGACTGTGTATGACGGTGTATGACGGTGTAAGACAGTGTAGGACAATGTAGAAGTTTGTGTTGGGAAGTGCAGTGTAGGATAGTGTATGACCGTGTGGGGACAATGTGAGACAATGCATGACAGTGCCAGACACTGAGGGGTAGTGCTAGAAAGTGTGAATGTGTAACAGTAGATTTGTCAACAACGACAGTGATCCAGGATACATGACTGAATATGAAAAAAGAGGGATTGCCTAAAGGGTAACTTTAACTCCTAGCGACTATAAGCAATGACGGGGCAATGTACCCCTGAGCAAGAGATGACGTCTCCGTTTATCCTGGTAACTTTAACCGCAACTCAGTCATTATCAATGACTGACTGTCTCTGGTGACGTGTCAGTACCATTTCCTCTTTTGGGGCATGTGATTGAGTTTAAAAAGTTAATCGCTGTCCTCGAAGACTTCACCGATCGTCTTAATGTCTGCGAATTCTTCATCGATCGTTTCAAGTCCTCGAATACATCATTGATCGCCGCAGTATCCTCGAAGACTTCATTAAGATCGTTCCTTGTCCTCGAAGACTTCATTGATCGTCTCATCTCCTCGAATACTTCTCTGGCGGTGTCAATATCCTCGAAGACTTCACTGATCGTCTGAATATTGTACTCGAAGACTTCAGTGATTAGCCTAATGTCCTCTCAGTGCCCGCCTACAGCTTTAAGTCTGGTGCCTTTTTGGGGAACAGCACAACAACTTTCGCCGCTACTGCATTACTTGTCATGTATTATGTTGTTTTCATTATGCATATTCACGCGCACGCACTCACACACACACACACATACACACACACACACACACACACACAAA